GGTGGAAGCCTGTATGTTTTGAAGTGGATAAATTGTCCTCAAAAGCACCCTCCTCCTAATGCATCTTCTCATTTGCTTGTCAACTCTCCCCCGTGCTTTCTGGCTTCAATTTAATGCTCCCAAGTATGCTTAATATGTTTCTACCCACTCTTCTGAGTGCTGAAGTGTGTTTCATGCACCCCTTGCCTACTAGGAACAGATGAATGCCTTTTGTTTGCATTTTAATTAGTACAAAAGTCCTAGATTGTGGCAGTGCAAATAAGAGAAGGAGGAAAATTGTGGAGGGGGGCGAAGAGAATGAGAGCGAAACTGTCTCTGTTCCACAATCTGTGGAAAAGGAGTTTCCCCTTTACCCCCGCCCCCAATCCTCCCCCTTCCACCTCCTTTTCCAAGCTTGAAAATACGCTGGATAACTTTGAAACAAATTGACTCCTTTCAGAAGCAAAAGCAATATCTTTGCTGTGACATCATCTTCCCACTCCCTATAACTAAGTACTCACCGTTCCCTGAACTAAAGTCAGACGGTTTGAGTGCCAAAGGTCTTACATTGCAGTTTCACACTTGGCTCATATGATTAAGAAAAAGGGAGAGGGAGATACTGTAAATGTAATCGAGGTCAGCTCATGCTATACAGTGGTACCTCTGGTTATGAACTTCATTTGTTCCAGAGGTCCGTTCTTAAGCTGAAACTGTTCTTATCCTGAGGCGAGCTTTCGCTAATGGCATCTCCCGCTCGCATCCCGGGGCAAAGTTTGCAACCGGGAGCAAATACTTTCGTAACCTGAAGCGTGCGCAACCAGAAGCGTTCGTATCCAGAGGTACCACTGTATTAAGGGGTTTGGGTGGAGAGCCAAACCACAGTAGGGGGTTCCATGAGTGAACCCTCAGGCTTGCATACTACTCCCGAATACTTATTTCTGTCTCTCTCATAGTTCCTGAATTCCTTGACAAGCCACGTTTTGTCATTACACCTGAACCAGGCAAAACGATGGTTTGTGCAACCCACAGTTTGTGAGCAAACCCCAGCGGAAACCATGTTCTGATTGTGGCTTCTGATTTCTGGCTTGCAGACAAATTATGCCTTTGTGAAATGTATGGACTCACTTATGCAATGAGCAAGTCTGTCATGGAAGAGTAGTTTGCAGAGAAAATCAGAGCATGGGGTGGGAAGGCAGGTGTCTCTGAGGCTTGCTTGTACAATGCCGAACTCTAGTTTGCTGTTGCATCCAAAGTGGCTCAGTCCACTTTTCCTGAGCCATAAATAGTTATCTGTTGTTGTTTTAATGCCTTGTGTCCCTTACCCCCTGAACTCTCTAAACTGCCTTGTGATATATAAATTGAAAGTTAGGGTAGAAATATTATAAACAAATAATTAAAAATGGCCCAACAGAAGGGGGTTGGAGCTGGGAAGTCGCTGTTGGTGGAACACATCTCTTCCCTTCCCTTGGATCCTGCTGCCCTAAGAGTCATAAGTGTGGGAACTCCCCCTTTCCAAGTTCTTCCAGAGTAACCTGGCATTGAAAAGTGGTTTTGTGGGTAGTGCTGAGCTCCTACACTAGCTTCCAGACTATGTTGCTTACCAGGAAGCAGAAGTGGAAAGATGAGGTTGGTGCAAACATATTGGCAGAAAAGTCCAATCGCCTCTGCCAGTGCGTTTGCATTGTGCTGATCTCCCCACTGTGTCAGCACTCTCCATCCCAATAAATAACTGTGGCCCACCTGCCAGGAAGCTAAGGTAGCATCTCCATCCAACCTGGTGAACTTTTGTTTGTGCTTCTTGACTTCTGATGCCATAGGCTGCTTACTGTATCACTTATTGCACAGGCCCTGTAAAATTCCATGTGATCTTCGGATGAAGGGCAGTATAGGAATTTAGTAAATGATGATGCCCTCCAAATGTTTTTGGTCTGTAACTCCTACCAGCATCGGCCAGCATGACCAGTGAGGATGGGAGTTGTAGTCCAATGACATCTGGAAGTCACCATGTTGGCTGCCCCTCACCTATTGGGTTGGACCAGCCCTGTCATTCTCTGTGGCTAGCCTGCTTCTTGCTTCAGTAATGATGACATCTGTGGCTTTCTACACAGTTTTTTGCAGCATAATTTGGTAATGATAAAGCCCGTGACTTTGTGCCTAGTGGTCCTGGAGGCTTCCCTTTGTATCAGAGATGACAATTATGCCGCAAGATGTTCCCCAAGAGGCAGACCCATAAAAAGTCAATGTGCAAATGATGCGCAACCTTTTGGGAAAGGCATGCATTTCTGACTTTTATTTAATACCTGATGAAATTTGAGACGCAATTGTATTCCCAGATACACGGATGGTAATGGAGGTAACAGAGAGGGGAAGAGAAACCTGGTTATATGTAATGAATACTCTGACCGTAGCAAAACGTTCAAGGTATGTGGCAGGGAGTGGAAGTTCATGAGCAAATAAATGTATCTTTCGAAAGCAGCATTGGTCCTGTTCCTACCCCCGCCTGCCTGTGAAATAGCGCTGCAGGCTAGAAGGGGTCTGGAGCAAGTACAAGGTCTTTGCATTTAAACAGCCTGGAAAACTACCTATGCAAGTTTACGAGCAACATTTGTTTTGCTTCAGCGTGGGGCGAGTGAAACAACTGACAGTATTTTTCCATCCCCTTCCAGAAATAATGGAAGAGTACACGGAGGATTCCACACAGCCATCGATTTCAGGCAGGGGTCTCTGCAGCTGCTTATAAAGCAGGCTGCCTATTTACAACTTCTTAATGACAGAAACCCAAATACTCCCTGTAGAGATGGCTTTCTTGACCTAAGCTGTGTAATCAGTGACTTTAATCCAGAGATGCAAAACAGCCCCGCCATTTGCCAGAGCTGACAACCGCAGTGGTGCTGACATGCACAAGGCAGAAGAAGAAGAAGAAGAAGAAGAAGAATTGATTGAGTTTCTTCATAAAATGTCCATGTAAACCAAGGTTTCCCAAACTTGGGTTTCAAGCTGTTTTTGGACTACAACTCCCATCATCCCTAGGTAGCAGGACCAGTGGATGTTGGGAATTGTATTTCAAAAACAGCTGGAGACCCAAGCTTGGGAAACGCTGATAACCCTTTGGTGTGGCACTAGTATGGCATGGCAAATGTGGAATATCATAAAAGAGCCAGCTGTGCCTTGTGTCTTGCTGGTTAATTGCATAAGAGATAAATGCTAAGATAGTTTCTCCTGATGTGGGGTGGTTGGGAGGGTCATCAGACAAGGGACCAGGGAGAAACCACAGATCAGTGGCAGAAGGGCACACACTTTGCATTTTTCACGTCTCCAATTAAAAGAATGTGGAAACAGGTGATGGGAAAAGCTACAGCCTGAGACCCCGGACAAGCTTTCTAGGAGGACAATCCAGCCAACATCTGGCAAGTCCCTGCAATTCAACCCTTGGTTCACACATGAATATTTATCACTTGATGGGTGCACCATCAAGTGATGACTACCATGGGTGAACAAGTGATCTCAGACCTGACATTGCATTTAGAACCTCCACATCCCCTCAAACACAATACTTTTCAGTGGGCTCCATTCACACATTCACCTACGGGACATGAAGCTCTGGACCGTGCATACATGTTTGTTGTTTGGTTCTTTTCCACTTAACGACAGTATCAAGCAACTGGCTCTTTTGAAAAGCATGACAGTCTATTCTCACATGCATAACCGTCACTGGATTGTAAGTCATGGTGGGTGTGGCTTAGCCCAGTAAATAATCAGGTGTAAACTTATATAATTAATGTGAACATCTGTAGGCCTATGTGTAACCAGTCTTAAACAAAAATTCACACTGGAAGGAGGATAACTGAAGATACTGTGGAACAAAATGGTTTTCACGTCCTCTCTAAATGCCTATTACGAGGCAGCCAATTGGGCTTCTCAAGGGATACTAGCTTGGGTGCTACTGCAGAGAGCCCTTCCTCACATCCCAGCCTATCAGACGGCAACTAGGCATGAATCGAAGACTCATTTGATGAAGAGAGTGGGCAGGCAGGTCAAGTGGAAGAAGGCTGTCCTTCAAGTATTCTGGTCCAAATCCATTTAGGGATTATATCTCAGCACTTTTAATGAGCTGCATGGCTGCTGCTTGTTGATTCTCTCAGGAAACCTTGAAGGCAGGCCAAAATTACTTATGTTTTCGGAAGTGGAACTCAAAGCAAAGTAATCCCAAATGTCTTGGATGGGATTTACATTTCCTGGGTTCAAATCTGGAACGTGAAAGTTCACCCAGGGGCTCTCTGTGGTGGCTAGCATTTAGGATTTCTTCTTTGGAGGCCACAAAGTTGTAGGAATTTGTGGACCACCCAAAAGTGCTTTGGGAGCAGCATGCTGACCCAGTACACATTTTTGTTTCAGTTCATTGTTCAGCACAGGGACACCAAATCCGAAGGATTTCCACCTTTAACACTACACTGTGATGCTCCCTTGATGAAATTGCAGCATTACGACACACCACTGAGTGTGGATTATTTAATTTCTTCAGTGTAGGGCTCATGTATGACAATTAGAGGGAGAGGAAAGTGCAGCCGCTGTGTTTGCCTTTTGAGAAACAGCTGATGCCTTGGAATTTTATTCAGCATGAAGCAAGAGCTGGTGAGAAGGGAGAGCAGGATTACTTGGGGTTTTCCTTTCATTTCCCTGCCAAGCAGTCAGCGTGGAGTTAGCAGAAAAGGCCCGGGAACCTCTTGCAGTTACTGGTTCTCCTTTAGCCCTATCCCTCCCTCTTTAACCAAGCTCAATTCCCCATTATTAGCCACAAAAACACAAGAAGAAACTTTCTGGACCAGACCAAAGACCTGACTAGCATCTTTCCCTCCACAGTCAGGTCATGAAGGTAGTGTGTCAAATGGGTATTCAGGGGCAGATTCCCAATGAATCTGAATGATTCATTTAGTTACCATGGCTGTAGTCATTGATAGATATAACCTACATGAATTGAGAGAGAGAGAGAGAGAGAGAGAGAGAGAGAGAGAGAGAGAGAGAGCCAGTTTGGCGCAGTGGTTAGAGTATCAGTTTAGGACCTGGGAGACCAGGGTTCAAATCCCCGCTTGGCCATGAAACTCAATTAATTGGTGACTCAGCTCCTAGGTTATGAAACTCACAGCCTCTCAGCCAAACCTACCTCACAGGGTCGTTGTGAGGATAAAAGGGAAGGGGGAAAAGTAGAACGATCTTTGCCATGTTGAGCTCACTGGAAGAAAAGCAGGCTATGAATGTCACAGATAATAATAAACAATACATTTGTCTAACCCTGCTTTCAAAGCCATCCAAGTTAGAAGCCATCAGCACATCTTTCGGTGTTGACAAATTCTAAGAACTTAAGAAGATCCATGCTGGATCAGGACAAAGGCCTCATCTGGTCCAGAATCCTGTTCTCACGGTGGCCAGACAGATAACTATGGGAAGCCTGCAAGCAGGACCTCAGCCTAGCAGCGCTCTCCCTGTTCGTGATTCACAGAAACTGCTATGCAGACACAGATTGCCTCTGCGTAGACATGGTGGTTTGTAGTCATTGAAAACCTTGCCCTCTATGAACTCGCCCAGCCTTCTAAGTATTTAATTACGTCTTCTTGCGTTGAGGTGTGAAGAACTCCCTTCTTTTGAGTGTGCAATCTTTAATTAGCTGCCTATGCAAAAGAATTTGCACAAAGAAGCAAAGCCTGGCTTCCCCTCACCACGATGCTGGTCTCCTCACATGTAGAAGGAAGCAGAAGACACAGAAGGTGACCGGCTTCCCCGCTGGACTGGTGCCTGACACCTTTAAAAAAAAAAAGTGAAGCATTGCTTTAGTCCTCTCTGACAATATTCTGAAACTGTGTCCACATTTTTTAAAACACAGACACACATGCTCCTTACTTTCAAAAAGTGCTGTATATCACCACTGAAAAAACACATTTTTTTTAAAAAAGAAAGGATGCTGTCACAAGAGCTTACAGAGCAGAGAGAGAGGCAGCCTTGAGACCTAAAACCAGTGTTTTTTTCTGAGGGGACGCATACCCCTAAACATTCTGTGAATCTAAGTTTGGCCTCATTGAGGGGCAGAATTTCAATATGAGTAGGAAAACGAGAGTACCCCTAAACATGTTTTTTAAGGGGGGGGAAGCACTGCCTAAAACTCTCATTTCAGATCCTGGGGAAGGGTTGCCCCAGCATTTGCCTACAAAATCCTCCCCCCCCCCAAAAAAAGGACAGTTCTGTTTCAAAACTAAGCTTTCTGACAATCTGCACAATGTAAGCTCTTCCAAACTAAATCCGATAAACCAGACTTAACTAACTTGCGTGCTCACCAGACAGTTTGGACTACAATTCCCAGCTGGCTGGGGCTGATGGGACTTCCAGTCCAAAATGTCTGGAGGGCACCAGGTTGGCGAAGGCAAAGAAAAAACATAGACTGGCTCGGAGGGCTTTTTTTTCACCCCCTTTTCTTTTTCTGCAGATTACAGTCTTGTTATTGTGACAGGAAATGACTCAGCCTTGGCAACGAGAGATCAGATACTGTATTCAGCAACATGAGGTGGTCATTTTTTCCTCTTGACCACACACACACACACACACACACACAGCTGTTTCATGAGGCAACAGGTTTCGTTGAGGGAAAATAAAACTATTTTTAAACGGATTCCATGCTGGAGAAGGTAGGGGAATACCAGCAAAGTTACCCTTCCTTGATAAGCACGGCTGTTTCATTCAGGGCATGCGGGAAGCTGTTGCCTTCAAGGAGAATTATAAAAATTCCGTGGCCACAGGCAACACAAAAACCCCTTGATTCCCACCCTGTCCCAGCATGGGAAAAGTCCTCTCAGCCAGTTGTTGTTTTCTCCTTTCCATCTTCATTGCCGTGGTGGCAAAGATGAATAAACAGGGGTGTGTGTGCATATGCACTGGATAACTTTCCCTGATAATAATATGAGGGTGATGTCAATATTTGAGCAACAACGGCCATTTCCTTTCAAGCAGCCCTCTCTCTCTCTATCAGCTGTCACTGGATCGGGTGTTATTTTAAAACTGTCACATGGAGATCTGTCACTGAGCTTATTATAAAACTGGAGGAACCCCCTCCCCCTTATGTCATAACTATACGTTAGTAACTTCCCTTTCCTAATGTATTGAAAGGCCCTGAGAGGCAGTGTTGCCTAGTGGTTAAGAGTGCTGGACTTGGAGCTGGGAGACCAAGGCCATAGTCACAGCAGACATTTAAAGCACTGCGATACCACTTTAAATGGTGGCTCCCCCCCCCAAAAAAAGCCAGAATCCTGGGAGCTGTGGTTTGTTAAGGGATCTAAGAGTTGTTAGAAGGCCCCCTGTTCTCCTCACAGAAGTACAATTCCTGTGGTGGTGAAATAGTCAGTCCCTCACCCCAGGAAACTCTGGGCACGATAGGGGTCTCCTAACAATACTCAGCACCCTAGAACTGTAGTTGGAAGGGACCATGACGGTCATCTAGTCCAACCCCCTGCAATGCAGGAATCTTTTTTAAAATGATCTTTATTAGTTTTCTTACTTGACAAGCACGCACAAAAATTAACAAAAATAATAAAATAATAACAAAAGGAAAAACATCCATCCATAAAGTTCTTACAAGATAACTTGTGGCACCATGTTCTGAATTCCCAATTACTTATCTTTCCCAATAGACTTCCGTCTTCCTCAAAGCGGCTCTGTCTTCTCTATTTGTTAAACTGCTTCTTTGATCATTTCCCCATTTGTTCTGTTATCTGAATGCTATACTTATAATCTATATTGCAATTTGCGAAAACGAATCAAAGCATGTCCAGGTTTTGAGGACACTGTGGTTTGTTTGTTTGTTTTAATTATTCTTTAGAAATTTCCCACTCCTTTTCGAACTTTTGGTTTGGCTGTCTCCTAATGCAGGAATCTTTTTCCCAGTGTAGGGCTTGAACCCACAACCCTGAGATTAAGAGTCTCATGCTCTACAAACTGAGCTGTGTCTATGAACAACAGCATCCAGGATACTTTCAGCGGTTCTCAACCTGTGGGTCCCCAGATGTTGTTGGACTACAACTCCCATCATCCCTGAGCTCTGGCCTTGCTAGCTAGGGGTGATGGGAGTTGTAGTTCAAGAACATCTGAGGACCCACAGGTTGAGAAAGGCTGCTTGGGGAAGCCATGACAGTTTAAAGTTGAATAATAGTGCTTTAAATAAGGGTGTGGATGTGGCCTAAATTTTTGGAAGTGTGGGAGTGCTTGCCATCTCCCCTCCTGCAGTTTCCAGAAACTGGCATTCAGAAGCATACTACTACCAATGGTGGAGGTAGAACATAGGTCTCATGGTCAGTGGCACCAACTGGAGCAAAGCTGAGAAGACCTTTTGAGTCTCACTATGAATTACTCACATTGCAGCAATGCTTTATGATACATGGATCTGTTGTGTAGCACAGATTCTAGCAGATTCATTGTCCGTATCTGTAGTTGACAAAGTACGCTTCTCTTTTTTAAGATTCCATGGCATGTGTGTTTTAGAAAAATTGACTGGCTGACGGATGGGTTCCTCCCCTCAGCTCTCTCATCATCTTGGACGAAAGGACTACCTGGACTTGAATCCACCTGCCGTGCATAGATGCACCATCTTGAAGAATATAGAATACATTAGTGTCACCAAAATATAACAGATTTGCACAATTCTTCTGTAGCAAGTGTTGATTTGAAAGAAGCTGAAGGAGCGGCGCTACTATCTTCTTGAAATTGCAGCTAAACTGCTACTTTAGTAGAGTGATTATGTTACAGCTTTTGGTACTAAAAGCCCTTGATGTATAACAGATCATAACATACCCACCGAGATCACAGCGAAAACAAGAGATGTGTGGTGTACTCATTGTGGCGATAAAACACCAAACCTATGTCATATCTGACCTACTTAGTCTAATGGAATGAATAGCCCCTTGTCAATGAGGAAATCGAATACAGCAGAGGGTGTTCATTGAAAGCTTAGTACGGGGCAGGGGGATGCTCTGAAGGAATGCTTGAAGGATGGGTGGCGGACCAAGGATATCAGGAAACATGGCAGGAATGATATAACCCTCAACTAGCTCACCACACCTATGCCGAAAGGGCTGCACAGGCTGCCATTATGTTATCGGGACAAGTTTAAGGGTCTTGCCGTTGGCATATAAACAACTTTGGACCAGGTTATCTCTGGGAATACCTCCCCTTGTACACCCCTGCTCAATCACTTTGATCATCAGGAAATACAGTCACAGTAATGCTGTATGGTCCCAAATGTTGCATAGTGTCCATTGTGATCAGGACTTTTAGTATGGTGGGAACTGCCCTTTGGAATGTGCTCCCCATAAACATCAGGCCTCTAGCACTAGCATTCAGGTATCTGCTTAAAGCTCATCTGTTCACTCTAGCACATGAGTGATCCAGAAATGTAGATTTATTAATCTGATTTGTTATGCATGTTGCACTTAGTTGTGAACGTAATTTTATTGTTTTACTGTTGATTTGATGCTTTCCACTGTCATCATATATATATATATATATATATATATATATATATATTCCCTCTAATGTTAGTGGTGCAGAAATTTTTGCAGATAAAAATAGCAACCAGTGCTCTGTGCGGTAGAGCTAAAAATTTGAGAAGATCTGTAGATATGTCTATAAAAGGGCTTCTATTTGATCTCTACTTTAAGAAGCCAATATATGAATATGTGTACCTAAAATGAACCAGTTATTCTCAGTTTCTGACAAGGTTCCTGTCACCTTCCAGATGTTGCTTGATTTCATCTCCCATCAGTTCCAACCACCAATGGTCGGATGTGATTAAAGTCTGGTGTCCAACAATGCCCAAAAGGCCACAGATTCCTCATCCCTGATTTAAATGGCTCTGTGTCAGGTGGGAATTCAAGAGGCATTGAGATACATGGATGGAAGATGTTCATGTTTTCAGTGTTGGCATGAACTGTTGTGCTACTTAGTGGCAGGAAATTTGCCATTAAAAATACATAGCAACACTGAATCTGAGACTTTTGGGGGGATTGGCATGAACAGATTTTATTTGGAAGTGCATCCCTGTTCCCCAGCATTGCCAGTGGCCATCCATGTGGCAGTTTGGTGGCAGCCAAGTATCTGTCACTGGCCACCATAGTAGGTGGACCCTACATTCTTACCAAAGAGCTCTATTAGGAGACGGTGCCATAAAAAGTGTGGCTGCTCTGACGGCACATGGATGCAGATTGGGGAAGGAACTTTGTTTGGTGGTAGAGCATCACATCCCAGGTTGAATCCCCAACATTATTCTTAGTACCCCTGTGAGAAACTCCCACCATTCAATGTGTAGAATGCTGAACTAGATAGGCCAATGGTCTGATTTGGCATAAGGCAACTGTCTGTGTTCCTATGACGGCAATGTAGCATTGGGAATTCCATTCCACCCTTTGCTGCAGATATGTGGGATTGTTACATGTCACATGTCTGTTTACATTCCAGCACAGATTGCTGGAGTCCCTTGAGCAGAACATCCGCTCTGTATTGCTTTTGTTTTCTCTCTCTCCGAGAAGAACGACAAGGAGAGAAGCCATGTTTCTCTTTGTCCTGATTTATGTAGAATAAATGCGTAGTTTAGTACAGTATCCACACCTCGAGCCTGATCTGTTGTGTGTTTACTCTGCTGAGAAATGTGTGCTCTTGCATGCATAGTAGCTTGAGTTGCAGACACACGTCGGAGGAGGATGACTGATGGATCTCCACACTGGCAAAGCTAAAAAGGGAGACGCTCCGGCTGGGGCCGAGCCAAGTGGCTTTTCATCCCCAGTTCCGACGTGTAGCATAAGTCAGTGATGTCGTTGTCTGTGCCCACCGCATGAGGTGCTATCCACTCATAGCTATGCACCTTCACTGTGGTAAAAAACAACAACCCTACCCCATGGTAGTATAGCACATGAGTGCTTTGTATGATGCTTCAGGTTTTGTCTCGTAACGGTGTTTCCTCCTGACACCACCACCAGATAGATGTTCAGGGCTAAGTGCACCCTTCAATTCCAAATTATGTGATGAGAGACTTGAAATATATGCTCATAATGGATGGCCTCTATTATGTATTATCACAATCATCTGATTTAGGGTAGGGTGGTAGGTCAGGAAAGAAACAGATCTCCAATGGCAAGCATGAAGTCTCGAAAACAGGCACATTTTTTAAAAAAACAAACCCAAAGGCTGGTATTTTTCCATATTTCAGATTCTGCACTTGTACAGAGAACCCAAATAGAGCATGTGGAGTATTTATAACTTTATTAAAATAGCTTAGGTTCTTACGGCTAAAACAAACCATCTCATTCTCATGTGATACGAATGCAGTTGTGTTGACTAGTTCCTTCTTATCTTAGAACAGAAGCAACTGCTGACTGAGGCAACTGTATAAAGATCTTCTCTCACATTGCTCCACAGGGCCTAGAAAAATGCTCAAATGCTTATTATTGTCTTATGGAGTTGACAATTCCCCTTTCTATGTTTCTCCAAAACAATCTCAGCAAGAAAGAAATTGTACTTAGTAGCATTCTAGAAGTAAGGGGGAGAGGAGGCAGTTTTGCAACTTTGTTTTAATATATTGCAATGTTTTCAAGGTTATTATGACCTAAAACAGGTGTGGGGATCCTTTGCCCAACCCCCACCTGAACTATAGCTCCCATCAGTCCCAGAAAGCATAGCCAACTTTCAGAGGTGATGGGAATTTCAGCCCAGCAGCATCTTGACAGCCACAAATGCTCCATCCCTGATGAAACACTTCATATTTTAAAATATAAATAATCATAGCAAGGGCTTCTTTTTTAAAAATCAATCAATCCTGGAAACATGAATTTTGTGTGTCCCAAAGCTTTGATTGAATGATTGCACTTACATTCCTCATTTCATAGGTCAAGTGAAATGGCAGCCTTCAGATCATAGGCAGCCTTCCTTTTAGTACAGCTATCCTGACTTTACACTGCTATCCCCTGAGCTGAGTTGTAGTCCAAAATGGTGGCCGTTAGATTTGGAGTGATTGTCAACAGTGCAACCGTTTCTCTTTTTTAAATATATATTTTTAATTCATTTTCCATTTTTAACATCATATTGTTATACATTTATACATTTTTAGCTCCACCAAGCCACTCGACTTCCCTCCGTTCCGTTGTCTGGTTTTCATAAATACACATCTTAATTCCACACATTTATACCATCTCAATTCTACATTTCTCCTTACTTAATCTAGACTTAAGGCGCAAGTAGAAAATTTCTTTCAATAAACGCTGCATGATTTATCTCAGTCCTGCCAGTGTCTTTACATGTTTACAATAACTGTCTATTGTATTGAATAAATTTACTCCATTCTCTCTGGAAGACTTGGTCGCTCTGGTGTCGGATTTTCCCCATCAGCTTTGAAACAACTCTGTTTCTCTGTAGCATCTGAGTCAGGAGAGCTGATGCAGGTGTCGGAATGCAAAGGGCTGGATGAGAGCCAAGAAGCTAAAGTTGAATCCTAATAAGATGGAGGCTTTGTGGGCGGCTGGTTGTCTCGTTCAGGAATTCCCACGTGGTTGTACTTCCCCTTAAGGATCAGGTTTGAACCCTCTTTGTAGATGAAGGTCCAAGTGGCATCCAAGACTAAGAGAGTCTTCCCCCAACTCCAGCTGGGTGACCAGTTATGACTATTTATGGACAGGGATAGCCTGGCTCCCATGGTTCATTGTGCTGGAATCTCATGCCTGGATTATTACAATTCATTCTACATGGAGCTGCCTTTGGGTCTGACTCAGAAGCCCCCGTTAGTGCAGAATGCTGCAATGAGATTGCTTGTGGAGGCAGCTTGCCATCAACATCAAACACCGGTGGCTGCTGGCTGCTTAGGAGAAAATGGCCTCCCATAAGCGAAAAAAGGATGGGCTATCAGAGGTATATGGACCTCCTGCACAGATTTCTTTGCATAAATGACAAGCACTGGGCAAGTTTGTGC